TAGGAAAACACTTTTTTTTCAGTTAAATCCCTGTGAAACACCCTTTCGAAAATACAGATAGGTTTTAATTCTCTCGTTACATTTTAAGTTGAATATGCAGAGGAGAGAATGGTCTGAGAAATGATCTGCAATAATGAAATGTGTTTAATTACTGTCATGCTCATCTGTTTATGTTCTGGTTTGCTTCTCACAGAACCTTACACATAACACGTGGTGTCACAGGGGCAGTACCCTGGGCCACGTGCACACATAGTTCTGCTGAGAGTTCACTGGTGTAACACTGGTGCAGAACATAATTACACCATATTTCTCTTTCAGCTTCTTGTGTTTACATGGTTTTTTGTAATGGTAGTAATACACCTATTGAATTTAGAAATCAACCTTCATAACCTCTCACCCAATCTCCCAAAGTACTAAGAGGGTAAATATCCAAAGGGCTATGTGAAATTTTTAACTGAGCTTAGATAACGTGCTTCCTTTTATAGAAGCTTTAGAAATGTGTGGTTTTGGCATGTTTTTCCCCCTCCCCTCCAGCAATTCATGTCCATTAGCCTCAGAGTTAGAGCCTTTCGGGAAAAAAAATATCTCAGAATTCAGTATTATCTTCCAGATATGAAGGAAAGCATCTGGCTAGTGAATCCACAGCAGCCCAAGTTCATCTAAGGCAGAAGTTTTGTTTGCTAACAAGGTGTAGTAGCCCTTTTGGCTTCCTTTTCAGAGACAGAAGCTCTCTCTATAAAATAGTTCTGCATCTGTCATTTGCAGCCTGATTGCTTACCTGGCACACAAGGCTGGATTTATGCAGATCCCCTGCTTTCTCACTGTAGGAAGCCCTGCTAATTCTCTGGAACCCTCTTGGTTCCCACTTTTAAAATCCTAATGGAGGAGCCTGAAGGAAGACATTAAGGTCTCAGTTTTTAAATGTTAAGATACTTTGCCTCCTTGAGGTTTATCTACCTGTATGATATTGGCAAGTGAAGTGTTTCCATAGACTTTGTTGTAGACCAGATAATGCTTGTGTGGATATGATTCTGCACTAGGGATTTTCTTTTTTAAAAGGAGTATTCTAGAGGTGGGGAGCGAGAAACAGTGAGTTACTGAGTGCACTGAGGATATGAGTGAGGATATGAGACCAGCTGTGCTGGATGAGACAAAAGGTCTGTCTAATTCAGGGTGTTGTCCTTGACCTTGAGTAAGAGGGAGAAATTGAGTTATGTTCACAGTGATCTTTGCCACCAGATTTGTACCATGTAACTTTGCAAAACTGCATTTTGAATAGGGTGCAGTCCTCTGAAAACTGCAGCTTAAAAGTGGATGTGGCAAGAACTGATGAAGGTAAAAAAATGGAGTTGGTCTGTAAAACAAGTGCAGTTGATAGAAAGGTAAATCATCTCCTGTGCCTTGTGGTGTGTGCACTTTCCTGAGGTCACAGGGTATCACAGCAAAAGCACAACAATAAATGTAACTGTCTGGATAATGTCATCTAGAGAGACATAAGTTTGATAAGTTTATAAGCTTTGATCCATGCAGAAGGACCACCTTTAGCAGAGGTGGAAGAGGAGTCCTCCCAAAGTAACAAGCAGTCACAACTGAGCTTCGGATTACTCTAATATTTTGAATATCCCTTTCTGTTTCTGGTCTCTGTTACCTTAACTTTTTCTCTCTCATCTTTTTTGTGAACTGGAGGTAGAAATCAGGAACTGTGTATTTTTGATGTGACCTGAGACATGTGATTTCAGAGCTGTCTAGAGAATAAAAGTTATGCCCAAACTAAAGACCCATGGCTCAGAATTCAGGAATCTGCATGAATTCTCTCGCTGTAAATCATAGAATCATTTAGGCTGGAAAAGACCTCGGTATCATTGTGTCTAGTGATTAACGTAACACTTCCAAGTCTGCAGCTAAAACACAGCCCTAAGCACTACATCTTCTAAATATCTCCAGGAATGGTGACTCAATCACTTCCCTGGGCAGCCTGTTCCAACACTGAACATGCTTTTTGGTGAAGAAATTTTTCCAAATAGCTGATCTGAACCTCCTCTGGTGCAATCTGAGGCTGTTTCCTCTGGCCCTAACTCTTGTTGCTTGGGAGACTGACAAGCCACATTTCCTTTACAGGAAACTAATGGCTTTTGAGTGCCTTGTCACTTGTGTTTGAACAGCAGTGTCGCTTGGATTGCAGTGGCTAACTGGTACAGAAATGCCAAATAACTTGATGTGTATCTAACAACGAAATCAAAACAAAATAATTCTGAGAAATAAACCCAAATCTACAAGTAACATTTGCCTATTGCAGTAATTGTGATTGCAAATAAATTACCTGCAAATTACTCTTTTGTTCATTCACTCTTTGGAAGAATACCTGACAATTATTTCTGTAGTTGGCTTGAAAAATTTTATTCACACAGCAAAATTTACTGCTTAAGAGGACAAGCATGTGAACTTACCCCCATGTTAATCTACCCATTAAGTTTTCCTGAACAGTATTTTTTACTGTCAATAGTCAACTGAACTCACCAGCTGCAGTAAGCACTTTTTTTTCCACCCTCTTTGTACAGTATTGTTTTCTGGTCTGTCACATTCTTTTGCTGTCTTCCGTGTTCATCTTTACACACCTTCTCTTGCATCAGCCCTAAAGAAAAATTAATTACTAAGCAACTGAATTTACAAGTATTACGTTGTCCCAGAGACATGGTTTTGTGCTTATATTGCCTTCTTGGTAACTATGTACATTTTTATTAAAGAAAAAAGAAAATCTCCTGCTCTGTTTGACTAATGAGGAAGGAAAATGGATCTGGAAGGGTCATCCTCCTTGCTCTTTGGACATTTGGAGCATTGCTGTGCTTCATAGCACAAAAATTGCTAAGGATTGCTTTGGGGAAACAGGACATCAGCTGCTGCAAGGAATGGAGAATGTTCATAGGAGCTCTCATGCATTATTCATCACAAGCTCTTTTCACTATAATCAGCTGGAGGAAGTAGTTAGTCTAGTTTAAGCTACCACTAGTATTTACATTTAGGTGACTTAAACAAGCCCAGGCAAGCACTGCACCAACTCTTTCTATTCAACTGCGGCCAAATGTAGGGCAGACTGCAGCTCTGCTTACAGCCCTCTGTCTCTTTAGTCTGAAGAACAGGAGTCATGCAACCAGGAAAAGCTGCACTGAGGATACACACGTGCATTCATGCTGGAAAATGAAGCTACAGGTAGGAGAAGGTCCTGTCAGCAGAGGGATGCTGTTAAGCCCTGCAAGGTAGACGTGTGTCAGGGCAGCCTCTCTCAAGGGAAGCTGCTGGAGAGGTTCCTTGTTAGTGCTACCTGAATGATCCCTTTTAGTGTCATACTTTGTTCAGTTCTTCTAATTATGAAGATGCATTATTTTATTTTACTGTGTTTCCTTCATTCACACTGACATTATTCTAAAGGTGCTGGCATTTAAAAATAGGGAGACAACTTGCTCGTTTTGGAAATTGTGGACTTGTTTTTCTTTAAGGTGTCTTTTAAATGTTATTGGTTATTAGCACTTCTGTTTGGGGGGAAGATAACCATAAGAGATTCTGTTAAAACACAGCTGGATGTGATAAGCCTTAAGCTCCAGTGTGTTCTTTGAGAGGGTCTGTGTTTGAATGGCTGCAGTATTTGATACTTTTTTTAATTTGCTGACTAAAGATACTTTCAAATTGAAGCCTGTGTTCTCGAACCGTATCTGTATTTTTTAATGTTAACAGTTGCTCTAAAAGAAATTTCTAGTCTGTCTGCAAGCTTTGTATGTTTAAATTATTAGGGCTCTAGCAAAACTGTTAATTCAGTTTTAGACAAAGAAGGGGATTTTGCAAAACCTTATGGAACAATAACAAAGGGTCTTTGTTCTGTTCTGTGAGCATTATTTGCCGTGTAATGTGTGGGTTTGTGCATATGTGTGAGAGGGAGGTACACAAACACAATCTCATTTGTCAAGAATGTTCAAATGTTATTTGCTTTGTTTGTCTGAACTGTGTTTGTGTGTGTGTGCTGCTTCTGGCTGTGAACCGTGCTCTGCAGGTTTGTGTCCTGCCTGTTGGGGATCTGCTTGAGCTTTGGGGAGGATGGCATTTATCTATCTATTTGTTTATTTATTTCTTTTAGTGGGCTGATAAAACTTGACGGTGCAAAGATCAAGAGTCATTGCTAAACAACCAGGACAAAACGGTGCTTTGTTGTGCAGATGAGTTGTTTTCTTTTCAAAACGATGACTTGAAGTCCAGCCCAGGATTTAGTAAATAAGCATTGCTGGTGGAAGCAAAAATTGTCAGCTTTATGTGAAATCCTCCGGGAGATTAATTGTCACGTGGTTTTGGTGGAGCTTAAATGTATGCTGCCAGCCAGTATGTTGTCTTCTAAGATGACTTGATCACCTAAATAAAATTTGTATGTACACAAGAATATGTTATTTAGTGACATTTCTTTTTTGTCTTTTAACAGTTGTGAGTTAAAAGATTTTGTCCCACATGTTATCAGTCTTTGGCTTTGGTGGAGGTACACATGTATACTTTTGGTAGTCCTAAATAACTTGACATGTTGACTCTAAAACTTTAAAATCTTGTTTTGACTTTGTGTGAAAATTCTTCAAATTTATATTCTGTGCATACATTGAGAATTGTTCTCCTACCTTAATTTTGCAGATGCTTCAATATTTGCCATTAGACATAGAGCTGGTTGTCTAACACTCTCTTACAACTGAATGTATGACATGTTTCAATATGTAAGATCCTTGTTTCATGGAAGCTGACTAGCAGAATTCTTTATCTCATTTTTATTAGACTTAAGAGGTCCTGTGCATTCAGGTAATTGACTTAAGTCAGTAGAGATGTATTTGTGATTATGTGACTTAAACTTTAAGATTTTTTTTTTAACAATAAAGAGTATTTTACTCTTCTGCTACTTAGTTACACCTAGAGTCCAGAGTTATGTTATCTAGTCATCAGGGTATGGGGAAGGAAGAGTTATTTCTGCAGTTGGCTTGTTTAATACATAGATAATTTAAAATTAAGTTTTCTAAAAGTGTCTCCATGTTGTTCTTTTTCAGCTATCCACATTCAAATTTTGTCTGTACTCAGCCTCCACCCTACTACCCACTCAGCTGATTGTATTAATTCTGTTTTATAATCAAATACTATCTAATACTATCACTGTAGCACAAGGCCACAATTACAGCATGGTTTGCACAGAGAGGATTCAAACCTGGCCACCCTGGCTTAAACCAGTTTGGGCCCAGATGATAATGTTATATTTGATGTGTCATATGAAAGTGGTTGGGCTTATGCCCGTGCTTCAGAAATTCCTCATCATTTTCAAGAAGCTGAAGCATGAAGCAACATTATAACTGTCGATCATAATCTCAACATTACGATCAACATATGAAGCAACATTATGAATGTTGATCATAATCTCAGACTTGGAAAGAAATTTTATTCTGATTTTTACAGGTTTTTTTAAATTCAGACATTTTTACATTGATGCTAAACTTTCACATGTCTGAGAAATATTTTGGATGAAAATATCTTCAAAATTTGCCAAAGATTTGCTCCGTGAGCTAAGAATGAGAAAAATATTTTGACTGAACAGAACACTTCAGACATTACGTAGACATACAGGAAGGTGAGAAATTGTACTGAGCATTAAAAAAAAAAGGTAATGAATAAGGAAGAAAAGGGCAGAAATCAAATTTTTGTTATGTTTCTGTAGATCACTGTGAAGAGCTGGAATCAAACCAGAAGAGAAAACAACATACCCTCTATTCAGGCTGTGGCAAGCAGCAGAGCTGAGACTTAATAAAACTCCTTACCAGTTTCATCTCCTATCTCAGTGTCTCTTTGTAATGGAATATAAAGGCTTCTAATGGAAGAATCAGGAATACAATTAAAACATTTCCTATTTTAACAGCAGCAAGAAATGTCACAAACTGAAATTAAGAAAATGCTTAGATTGGTTTTAAGGCAGTGAATGGAAGACGAGTTACTAGTTCTGTGATGTAAAGGCAGCATCATATTGTAATAGTATTTAAATTAAATCCATCTGTGATGTCCTTGGGAAAAGTAGTAGAAAATGGGGAGGACTCCCTCTTTTGCCATCAGTGGGGGAGGACTGAGGGAGTGACTGTCTTCCTCCCATAGGTGTGGCTGAAAGAAGAAAAGGTTCTGGGGCTGTGGAAGGGAGGGTCCTCTGCACTCACTTGAGGATGCCAAGCTGGAGATCTCTGCACCTGGGTCTAGTGGAGGAAGGCAAAGGGGTGCCATCATCTCCTTGTGCTTCAATCTCAACACTGTCATGGGTTTTGCTCCTTCATCATGGGCATGTCTTGGCCACTGGTGACAAAGGAGGGTCAGTAAGATGAAGGACAGAGACTGTTTCTCCCCACCACACTTCCCCAAACTTCCACATTTCATTGTCCAAAAGGTACAGGATGCTCTGATAACTGAGTAGAAACAGCTGAAATGCTGTTGTACATTTCTTCCCTCTTGGGAATGACTGCAGGATGGGAAGAAATACAGTAGGGATATGACCCTGCATAAGGTTTGGTGGAGACAGAGGGCTGGCAGGCAACGATGTGCATCTCCATGGACATGACTGTCAGTACTGACACGCCCAGTGTAAAAGCTGAATGAACACATTAGTGCAGAGATGTGCCAAGCTGCAACTGCTTCTCTCTGAGAAAGTCTTGGGCAAAGGGCTGACTGTAAGTGAACAGACTGAAGGTGAACTTTAGCTAGCAGTTTGATGCTTTGCATACAATAATTGATAGTCATTGCAGTGGTCTGCCTGATCATGTATTTGACCTTCAGCGATGTTTAGAGAACAGTCCTGAAATGAGATGATTGCAGACACACACAACATCCAGGCTTAAAACTAACAGAAGGGCATTTCAACACCGTTTGTAAATGTTGGCGTCCAGATGCTGATGGCCTTGGACTGAGATATAAAATCATGAATACAGATAGGCCAGTTAAATCTCTCCAAGTCAGACCGCCTCTGCACTGAGCTCTGCAGAGAGGTTTAGCCACTGTGCCTTTCCTGAGCTTCTGGAGGAGTTTGTGTGAAGCTAGTGAAGGCTGGCAGCTTGAAAGCACTGAGAAAATAGAGGTCAGGAAGGGAGCAACAGCAACAATTGCAGTGTGGGATTTGGGGAATTTGGCTTTATTTTGTCATTCTTATGGTGTCATCCTAGGATACTTTTGTTTGACTGCATCTCTGCACTACTGATATTTGAGGCATTAGTGACATTTCATTTCTCCTCTTCTCTTCCTGTCATGTATTGTTGTTTTTATGATTTGCTGATTTTTTACTAAGACCTAAATTCAGTTTCTGAAGAGAATCATCTCCTGTACAGGAGTAAAAAATAATGTTTTCTTGAACCCTTCAGCACTAAATGCTTATCTCATGAATGCTGATTAACCCAGAGAACTGACTTGAAGACTCAGAGAGCCCCTTACACTCATGATAACTGGAGTACTAAAGTTGTCAACAATGTTAAGACCGTAGCTAGAATTAAGAGCACAGGAACTGCTGTATCAGGTTAGACTAAAGCACCTTGTGGCAGTGTGCAACAGGAGATGCTTAGGGAGTAGTAAAAAAAGAGGCTTGTAATTATGTGATATGTCAAAAGTTGGCATATCACCCATATAATGGTGCCTTCCCAATATATTGGAAGATGGCACAAATAGGTAAAGCTTTTGTGCTGATTGGTTTGACAGAGCATTGTCTCTGTCATATGCAGCACAACCACAAATGTTACAGCTACCGAGTCGTACCTTCTGTGTTTGTTAATAGCACTGTGCATGCCATGTAACTCCTTCACGGTGAGTTAAGTCAAAGGACTGAGAAGCATTTTGGAAGCGCAGGAGTCCTGTAAACTGCAGTAGAAATGAGCCAGCCTCAATGGGGAAACCGTGCCCCTGCATGACAATCTTAGAAGAGCATTTGGTGAAGGTCAAAAGTAGGTAATTGTCAATAGACAGTTCATTCAATCTTATAAAGCAGAGCTAAACTTTGATAAGTTACTATTGCATTGAGTTACTAAGGAAAACAAGACACACATTAAATAAAAAGAAGGAAGTTTTTTAATATGATTTTTAACATTCATAAATCTGTAAAGAACAGAGAGAATTTCAGATTATGCTGTTCTTCCCACCTCTGCTTTTTGATGTCTTTTTGTGACTTGCTCCCCTTTCATGTCTCTGCTTGATGTGTTTTTGACATTGGGATTTAATTTTTGTTAAATACCACTTCATCTTTCATGTTGCTTTCATTTGCAGATTCTTTCCACTTGTTGCTAAAGTTACTAATTTTTTTCTTACAGTTGCATTTCCTAAAAATACTCTTTTGTAATGTGTCTTGGAATCTGTGTTTCTTTGTTAGCAATGTCCCTTTTCTGTGCAGCTCTACAGGCTGGGGGAGGTGTGGCTTCAGAGCTGTTTTGCAGAAAAGAATAGGATGTGCAGGTTGACAGCCAGATGAACATGAGCCAACGGTGGATCCAGATGGCCAAGAAGGTCATTGGCATTTTGGCCAGTATCAAGAATAGTGGGGATGGAAGGACCAGGGCAGTGATCATTGCCCTGTACTCAGAACTGGTGAGGCCACAACTCAAGTACTGTTTTCCAGTTCTGGCCCCCTCACTTCAGAAAGGGCATTGAGGTGCTAGAGCACGTCCAGAAATACTCGTGAAAGATCTAGAAAACTTGTCATATGAGGCATAGAGGAAGCTCCAGGGGGACCTCATCACTCTCTACAAGTGCCTGAAAGGAGGTTGCAGTGAAGTGAGGACGGGTCTCTTGTGTGGCTGCAGAGAGGACAAGAGGAAATGGCCTAGAGCTGAGATGGGAGATTGAGATTAAACATGAGAAAACATTTCTTCACTGTTAGGGTGGTCAGGCATTGGTATAGGTTGCCCAGGAACATGGTGGAGTCACCACCCCAGAGATGTTTTAGAGCATCAGGATCTGGTGCTGGGTGCTGTGGTTTAGCAGTTACAGTCGTAGTGCTGGGTGGATGGTTGGACTTCGTGACTTTAAAGGTCTCTTCCAACCTCAATGATTCTTAGATTCTGTGATCTTTCTGTTACACTTCAATGAAAGACAGAGGCAATGACTGGGAGCTTTCCTGGTGCTACTTTATTATCTTAACTGCAAGCTCACCAAGTAACTGCTAAGTGCTGTTTAGTGCTGCTGAATGTATTTGCTTGGTGGCTGTTATAAAGTGTGTGGGAACCTTCTGTGGCTTAAACTGAGATAATCAAGAATAAGCAGTCAGTCAATGTTTTGCCAGTCATCTCAGAAAGCTTTAGAAGGTCAGACTAAAGAAAAGTAGTCTCTGAAGACCTATGTTGTGAAGTTCTATTGCTTCTCTCAGGAGCAAAACCTCTGAGGTTTTCACAAAAGAGTTCCACAGTGGGCTTGAAGGAGATAACAGTCTCCAGTTAACAGTCTCTCTGCTAGTATCACTCCACAGGCTCTATAAAGTCTGATTGGGTGCTGCCCTTCTTGAAATGAATTAAAAATACCCTTGCCATGAACTTTGTCTGCTGCTTGGCAGGAATTTTTCATTTGAGTGCTTTCTTTATGAACCTAGCTGTGAGGAAATCCAAACAACTCAAGCCTTTCATCTTAGAGCTGGATAAAGCATATCCACCAGTGCTGTTTATTCCAAGTTCCCTTATTTTGATGTAGAGCAGACACCAGAAAGGTACTGTAAAGTTGTTAAAGAAGTGCTTAAATACATAGGATGTACTCCAGAGAGATTAGTGTCTTGAGAAGGTGAGCTTATGTAGAAGAGCACTGCTGCAAGAGGATGATTTAACCATTTCTTCAGATAAGGAATTCAGGGCCGAAAGAGTACTTAGATTGTTTCCACACTACACCCTTCCCCCTTGTCTCATCCATATTTATTTTTTTCTATTTTGCCTTCTGGCAGACTTTTGGCAATGACTTCAGCCTATTGGCTAGGTGATGACATCAGACAGTCTTGCCTCTCTAGGAAGAGCAGCCTCATTTGGTGGGGAAAAAACCCCCCACCTTAAATTTCAATCCTAGGTCAACCCCAAACCACCAAAATACCACCAAATCCACAGAAAGAACTCAGAAAAGAAATCAAATCATCCTTCCCACCCCTCCAGAAGAAAACAAAGCAAAAAATAAACAAACAAAAACCCCAACTAAAACATACTGTTAGTTCTTTCTGAGATGTAACACATTCAAAAGCAAAATCTAAACAGTGGTACTGAAACAATGAGTATGTTAAAAGAAATGGTAATTCTGTGATCTCTGCATTGAGCATTCCCATACATCTGTCCTGCACCTAACTGAAAGTTATGTAGATAAAAGTTTCCTGTTATTTTAATCTTACTCAAAAAATTTTTAAGTAATGCTTGAAATGTGTGATTTTTAAGATTTACTTCCTGTGTTGCAGTTACCAGGAAGTGCTGTTGACTTGTTTTTATAATGTATTTTGGTGTATTTAGCTTTTGTGACTGGGGATGCACACACTTGTTTTATCAATTTTAAGCTAATTTCATAATTTTGAAACTTGAGTAGTAGGTTTGAAACTTGAGGTTTTTTGTGATTAAGAGCCCACTGAAATTGAATTGTTGTTGTTTAAAAGGTAGTGAACAGTTTGGGTTCTGAGTATTAGAGCCAGTAATGCTTCAAGTGGCAATTTGGCGATGAACTGGCACATTCCTAGGCAGTCCTTAAATTAGGTTCTAGCAAAGACTGTGGGGATGCATGATTTATTATTATTATTATCTTTAAAAAGGGAATCTGAAGCTCTTCAGTGGTAGAATTTAGCCATTCAAAGGA